AAGAAAACCATCGTTCGCTCTGCATACAAGCTCGTTTACGAAGCAGCACAGGGATTGTTAGACGGAGACACGAGTGTTTCTGGTGATATCCTGGAACTGAAAGACTTGGATGAAAGAACTAGACAGAAGAAGTTGGCTGAACTGGTTTGGGCAATATCAAAACTCACCGATATAGCACGACACTTTAGAGCTAAGCGGGACAGCTGTGGTGCTCTGGAACTAGAAGGGTTAGAAATCCAAGTGCAACTGGACGATGAACATAATATCCATGACCTCGTCCCCAGGCAGCCTCTGGAGGTGCACGAGACTGTAGCGGAATGTATGATTCTTGCCAACCACTGGGTGGCAAAAAAGATTTCAGAAAATTTTCCTCATCAAGCTTTGTTGCGTCAGCACCCTCCACCACGACAAGAATTTTTTACTGAACTTCGAGAATGTGCCAGTGCCAAAGGTTTCTCAATAGACACACGGTATTTTTTATTACGTATTTTAAGTGCTTTAATTAAAGTTAAGGAGTTAACTATTTGGCTATGTTATCATTAAAAAACATTACAGTTCTGAGTATCAGTGTTAATAGACACTGCACAGCAATTCTTAGGAAAAATTTTTACCGTAACCTTTCTGTGAGCAGGAGATGATGTTCTAAACAGGAGATGCTGCTTGCATCCTGCTGGCTCTACTGAAAATGGCAGTATCTGAATAATTTTGGACGCATCCAAAAAGAATTTCTTCAGTCACTGTGTGGTGGTTAAGCTCTGTAATAGCCTTATTTCCTGTAAGAGTAGTGTAAGGGAGTACGTGTTTAAATGAAGTTAACTCTGTGCAGTATACTAATTTTAAATGACTCAAATTCAGAACTACTTTGTCAAGATAATAGGAGAAGGCCGTGAGCTTCATCACATTCGGAGGCATCTTTTCTGGACATCACAGAGTGTGAAGGGCACCAGCAGTGCCTCCTTTTAATTGGATGTCACCCTTTGTGCCCTCCTGTACAGAACAGGTTTTGGACCAGCTCTCTGTTTTGCACAGCACAGAATAGGGTTTTGCTCCAGTCCTCCTTGGTTCTCCAGGTTGCAGCAGACAGGCCTGTTGGTGAAAACACGTTTCTTCTAAACATTTTTCTAGAGCAGAGCTATTATGAAACTGTGTTGAAAGTTTTAATATCATTTTGCTTGTCATTCATAGCTTTGTAACTATCAATTTTCATGTGCTGTTTTTAACTATCAGCTATTATGATCAGGGATAGCGTCATTTTCTTCAGAATTAACACTTTTTTGGCAGGTCTAACAAAGCATTGGCTGAGTCTCTGGATAAAGCGAATGACCCACTGGATCCAATTGTAAATAAACTGTTGCGAACTATGGCCACTCACGCCATGTCTAACGCGCTGTACTTCTCAACTGGCTCTTGTCCTGAGGAAGAGTTTCATCATTATGGTATCTTGTCACGTTATTTTTTTTATGCTATTCCTGTTACTGTTTCTGAACTGCTGGGTGGGAGGCTGCTGATTACTTTGATTATTTAACCTTTTTTATTTGTAGGACTTGCCTTAGAGAAGTACACCCATTTCACTTCTCCAATTAGAAGATACGCTGATATTGTTGTCCACAGGCTCTTGGCAGCAGCAACTCTGACTGAAGCTAAAGGAGATGTGAAGGATGATGTATTCAGTAACACGGATCTTCAAGAATTGTGCAGGCACATTAATAACAGAAACCGGGTAAGGTGGTGGTTGTGCGCGGCTCCGAGTGTTGGTGTGCTGCTGAACAGAAAGGGATTCCAGCCCTGACTGGCTTTTGGGTACTACAGCGACATAGTATCACTCATTACTTGTGATGCTTTGGGGCTTTTTTACTTCAGTATCAGTAAAAGTGACTTCATGCTTCACCTGTACTACGTGTAGGATTTCTTTTTAGATGTCATTTTTCTAGGGGACAGGTAAGGGAGTAAGTAATGGGAAAAAGAAACTATGGAAATCAAAGCCAAACAAGCTCGTTGAAATATTTATTCCGGTGGTTTTGTGTTCTCTTTTTTGGGGGGGGTGCTTGCAGGCAGCCCAGCATGCTCAGAAACAGTCTACTAAACTCTTCCAGCACATGTACTTCAAAGACAAAACCTCAGAAACAGATGAGCGCTGCATAGCAGATGGCGTTATTTACTCGATTCGAACAAATGGTGTGCTTGTTTTTATACCAAGGTGAGTTGATTAGAGCTTGGACTGAGCTTAAAAATAAGACCCAAGTGTCACTAAAACGCTGCGAGGACACCTCTGGTCCTTGAGAAAGGAAGTGTTTATAGTGCAGCCTGGTGTTGACTGATGACTGTGTTTTAGAATTTTGTTGTAAATCCTGATCAGTGTTTTTCTGTGCATTAACCCTGAAAATGAGTTCCTATGAGCAAATGGTAACTGTGCTGCACAGTATGCATTTCTTTTAAAACAGTAAAAGGACAGGTTTTGCCCGAGTGGCTGCTAGGGCAGAATGACTGGGATATTTTCCCCTCCCTTTTTTTCTTTTTAAATAATCCAAAGTGATTTTCCAAATCACAAAGCTCTGAATTCCTCAGCACTCTTTTCCTTCACTACAGACTGTAGTTTACACCTGCTAGGAGCACCTGTTGAACAGCTACTCCTCAGAGGCAGCAGGGGGGGCACAGAAATGGTGACGTGGTGTTTATGGCTGTTGAGCTCATCTAAGTGCCTGCATCTCAGCTCAGCCTCTGATTTATGCTAGCAGAAAGCGCCTCTTTGCACGAAGCTAACATTGCATTTTAATTTCTGAGCTTTTGAATCTGTATTTTAAAGTATAGACTTAGATGTGTTTTGCTTAGGGTGGGAGTTGACTAGTAAGGGATGTAAAGAGGCACTAGGCACCACGGGACGGGGGAGCACTGCCTCCCACGAGCCTTGGCCGGCTCTTCAAGCTGGGGGCAGAGACCTGCCCTCCCCCCCGGCTGGCTCTGGCCACTTTGGGTCAGTTAATCATCTTGGCGTTTGTGCGTTACTGGCAGCAACGCTGTCGCCTAGCTGACAGGTATGAGAAATGTAGGTCTAAGAACTCTCCTTTAAAGAAAAAAAGAAACAAACCCCCCAAACCAGTTTACAGAGATGATGGGTAAAGCAAACCATTACAGGATCCTCACCCCGGGCTGAGTGTGGAGATAGAGCAGCGACCTGGAGGCCCGTTGGCTCCAGCCTTGCGGCTGGCTCGGCTTGCACGCCAGGCTCCCTTCCAGAGAACCCAGGGCAGTACCCTGCTGGTCTTTAAGAAGTTTTCTTTCAGTGGAGAACTGTTTGCTCACCCTGCTGTCTGGAATAACCTGTACCACTGCTCTTCTCCTAGCATCGACCCTTCCAGGCTCCACCCAACACGTGAGATAATGGATCACTGACTGTACTTGACTTTTGCTTTCAAAACACTTCAGTCGCTGTCTCCAGGCTGGTTTTGTACACTCTGGGGTTTCTTTGACAACACACACCCCTATCCCTGAAGCAGGATGATCAGGCTACTGTGTTGGCCCCTTTGTATTGCTTTTATATAATCCTAGCTCGCCTTCTGTTGGTTTCAAAATTAAGAGAATGGATATGGGTGAAAAGTGTTAGAACAGCTTCTGTCTGCTCATCTGCTTTTCTGTAGATACGGAATCAAAGGTGCTGCGTACATGAAAAACAAGGAAGGATTAGTCATCTCTTGTCAAGGTGATAGGAGCTGTGAGTGGAAGCCTGGATCACTCCATCGCTCTCAGAATAAAATTACTTCTACTACCACGACTGGAGAATCAGTTACATTAAGCCTTTTTGATCACGTTACAGTGAGTATTTAATCAGAAAGTAGTAAAAAGAAATAGCACCATGAGAAATAAAATAATTTTTATATTGTTTTTAAGGTGAAAATACTTGTGCAGGCTTCCCGCTGCCATGCTGACACATTCAAGCTTGAAATACTCAGGAATGCACCGTATCAGACTTCCAACACGGAGGGTTCCCAGAATTCTCACGTGGTGAAATCTGACGTTGCGAAAGAGGTCAATGAGGCTGCAGAAGCCGCCCAGTGTGCCCAGGAAAAAGCACAAGTTGAAGTCCTTGATGAAGACTACCAGGAGTACTGCCAGAGCAAGGGAGCAAGCTTGTACCAGCTGCTGGAGGAGATCAGGGATTTGGCCCTATTAGACGTTTCAGCTGATGTTAGAACTTGAACTAGAACCGAGTAACAGTGGCTTGGCTGGGTTCTGCTCCCAGTCCCCTGGTGTGATTAAGTTGTTCTTTTAAAAAAAGCAGTCTATTTAAATATTCATGAGTCCTTCTAATATGAAACTAAATGTCTATTTTAAGAAATAATTATTTTTATGAGATTATGAACATGTATGAGTTTTTAAAAGATTTTATACTTGATAAATCTCATCTTCCAGACTAAACAGTGTGGTGAATTCTTTTAACTATCAGGAAAAAAAGCTACTTTTCCCTTTTGCCCATAAATTAAATTCTTAAAAGCAAAGTATTTCCTACAGCTGTTGGCCATCATTCACTATACTTTAGTGAGTTTAACTCATAGCAACAAGGATGTAAAAAGCTAAACTCCTTCACACTGATCTACAATACAGAATTTTGCTGAAATCCCCCAGCTGCACATCTGGCATAAAGTAACAGCTCTTGCCACGAGTTTATTTAATCTGCTGAAGTCATGCTTCTTGTTTCAGTTTCTAGAAATTCAGTTTGTTATGAACAGCGTACTACCCTGTGCTCTTGGAGAGGGCAGGCTCAGGGCTTTACCATTCCCGTTCCTTCCAAAAAAGGGAAAAGTGATTGTGCAAGGAGACACAAGACTCTGAGAAGGGGATGGAACAGAGCCTCAAGCCAGGGACCAGAATCAGCTGAAGATAATTAATCTGGTCAAAGCCAAAGCATGTTCCCCTGAGGGGAGGTACTCCTCTGTGATGACTAGCACAAGGGAGAGGAGAGGTGAGGGGGCCTGGAGTTGGAACAGAAAAACCCCAAATTCAGGTTTGACTTCAGAAATTTAATAGTTTCCATTTTATAAGAAAAATACACAAGTACTTGCTTATCAAGTTAAAAAAAAACCCAGGCCACCTGTTAAGACACAGCACTACCCCCTATCACATACACTAGCTACTAAAAAAACCCAAACAACTTTAATCAAAACTTCACCTGTCGGTATCCCAGTTAACTGGAGTTTGACATCAATTGTAAACAAAATTCAGAGAATGTTGGGGGAGGTGGAAAAGGTGTCGCAAATGCTGATGGAGAACTTGTGTTTTCCAGTGTACAGAGTTGCTCACCTACAGTTCCAAGAGAAGAGTTCTGTCCAACTAAACAGATGTCACAGTGAAGACTTCCAGGAAGCTTCTGGAGTCAGAGTACACAGGGGCAGCAACACCGCAAAACAGTGATAGTACTGGAAACTGGGGTCTTTCTGTCAAGAAAGTCAAAGTGTGGGGCACAGTTACTGGTTTTCGCTGGCACATTCCAATTGTGTATCTCCAGCTTGTGTAACAGCAGCCTTGGTTGGGGTAACTTCAGCATCTTCGATAAGGTCAGCGGGATCCTGAGTAACTGCAGTATTAAACTCCTCTTCTGAGTAAGTAGTGGAGAGCTCTGTCGAAAAAAAAAATAAAATTTCCTACCATGAGAACACACCGGTGCTGTGTGTTTAACTGCAGCTTCTATCACCAAAATCAGTCTGGAGGAAAGTCAACTCTGGAGATGACCAGCACGTTGAGTTGTGTTTCAAAGCTATCACAGCTTGGCATGACAACTAGGGACAGTAGTTCTGACTTAGCTTTAGGAGTCTAACTACAGGAACACAGTTTAAATTTGAGAATTAAACCTTATGCTAATTTCTAAAATTAACAATCACTCCCCTTTCCTTTAGCCTGAGTTGGCAGCTCGGCTGTTTAAGCCTCTGGGGCCCCTGACCCTCCCGGCGGGGGGTTATTACCGGTGTGGTGCGACTGGCTGTTCCACTGCATCCTGGCTTGCCTGCGTTCCAAAGCCAGCTGCCTGTTCTTCTCCATGCGCTGTTGTTGCTCTTCTGTGAGAGCTGTACCAGAGAGAGAACCGAGTTCTGCATTTCCAGAGGAGGAAGGTGCATCTTCAGCGGCTGTATCCAGTCCGTTGCTTTCCCCTCCGCCACCTGATTAAAAATGAGGGGCGGTGAGACGGGAGAAGAGGCAGAAATCAACACTTTCAACCCAGAGAGATCTACTGCTAAACATCTGCCAAGAGAATATTTTAAAAGCATTTTTACACTCTACATTTTAAAGTTGTATTGACAGCTGAAGATCATTCTGTAATTTAGTTTTAACGGGCAATTTTCTGCCTAGGTCCATGTACCTGATACTCAAAATATACAACAAATACTTACTAGAGATCCCAAACACACAACAATAATACATGCCTGACTCCAGAGAGGCATAGCTCTAAGTACTAAGTTAGCAATCATGAGCTGTGCTTGAAGGCTAATTCAGACAGGAAATTCAGGCAATCCTTTCTGAAAGGCCAGGTAATTTTCTTTCCACGCCTACTAATAGGACCCTGTCCTTGGGGAAGTGGCAGGACTAGTTCCAGGAATCAGAGGTTCAAACACAAACATTGAATAGTCAGTTCTGAATTCAGTGTGCTACTGTTATGGAGTATTTACTCATTTGCCAACATGAAGACATGCAAAATAGAGGCAGGCCAACTCTGTTAGCCAAACTTCACCCACCAAGAGAGCAGCAGAGCACCCTTTCAAGTGTGCCTAAGGCCAAGTATGCTTGTGCCTCTGCACCACTTTAAGCCTGTGAATAGAGAAGTTAGCTGACAACAAGGTTTTGGTTTTAATACAATACTCTAGCTTGAGTTTTGCTTTAGAAAGTCTAAGATACCTACTCAAGTTTTTCAGCTGAAGACTCACCAGTTGTAGCAGTACATTCCCTAACATGGTTTGAGAACAGATCAGCACTGCATTTAAACACAAATGTATGGAACCATCGCACAGAAAACTCTGATAACTCTACAGATCCTGTCGGCAGGAACCATTTGCTTTACTGTTCGTGGCTGCTTACGGTTGCATTCGGTTTCCAGCAAATGCAGCCAACAGTGAAGACAGCCACACGCCACTAACTGCCCAAAGGTCGTCCCCACAGGTAAGGCAAGGTTTCAAGGTTCTACTGACAACTCATCCACCAGAACACCCTTCCCAAGCACGGGCTTGTCTGGATGCTGAGGGTCACGTGAAGACAAACTGGACAACAGGTAGATAATTATTTCAAGACTCGGAGCGAAAGTGTGAACACCTAACTGCAGAGGACCTTAGGGATGACTATAAAATTCTCCCATTTCTGCTAATAAAGTTTTTTTTTAAACTACCAGGTAAACCCTGCTCCCTCTTTTTATTAAGAAAAAAAAAAATGAAATGTTTATTTCTTATCTAAGAACATCATCTGATTGGAGGAGACTCTTGAATTAGCCACTTGTTAAGTTGCTGGATTTTGATATTGGAAGAAGAAATACTTAATAGTGGCTATATGCCAAGACTCACAGACAGACATAACAGCGCCCACAAGCATTACTAAGTGCTTTCCTTATAAAGGACACGACACCCTGACCGCACTGTAACAGGTTGTGGTACGAACAGTACGAGTCAGACTTCCACGCTGGCGAGATCCAAGAGCTCCTCAGAGTGCACGCTCCTAAGAGTACAATACAACCTTCAGTGAATAAATGCAGGTTTGGGGTTTTTTTGGAAGACTATTTCAAACAACGCTGGTAATAATACCCATTTCCCATATCCTTTCAGTATACCAAGCACTTATTTTTATATATAGAACTCTATGTAACATTTTAGTCCAAGTACCAGTTCACTTTTATAATCATAACTCTCAGAGAAGCTTGGTTTTTGGACTAGAGGACCACTCGACAATTTCTTCTGTGTTAGAACAATGTATCATGGTCATTAATTTCTGGTCAGCAGGAGGGGTAGTAAAGCAGTATTAAGCACTGAACAACTGAACAAACAGCAAAACGAGCATACCGTCATTACTTGTGAAGTCCTCATGTAAAATAGGAAGATCAAGTCTAATTCGCTTTAGGCAGGTCTGCAGATGAGTGATTAAAATACTGATATTTCATATGTAACAAAATCTTTTGTACAACATTGCTATGTTTTTAATACTACTCCCAATTTCTCTTTACACGTTATTACTCTGAAAAAAATATTCCTTTCACTACATGTCTGTTTGACCCACAACTTTTAATGCTGTAGCTCATGTTCCTAATCCTTCATCTACCACCTAGCCAGATGAAGCAGCATTCTTAAGTCTTCTTTTGCAAGTTCAAACATTAAAAAACAAACAAAACCCCAAAACCCAACCATTCCAGCACTCAAGCAAATTACTTAGACTTCAACTTTTTCAGGACAACTTTAAGCAATCCTCTAAAGTACTACTTCAAGTAAAGGTTAGATCTAAATGTAAACTTAAATACTGGAAAGAGCTATTTTTAAAAAGAGAGAACTTAATCTACATAACATTATACTCCTTAGCAGTATGTACAACTTAAGTCTTGTTTTATTGCATAACTGCTCTCCTAAACTTATTTCTTACACTATTCAGTACTACATGAAGAGAAACTGAGAGGAGCAATACGTACCTGAACTTCCTTTTTGTTTCCCAAAGTCTCTACTCTGTCAATAAAATCCTCAAACTGCAATTTGGGATATAGTCTATGAGCCCAGTGCTCCATATGTTGTATGAGTGTCTTCAAGTCCTCTGCCTAGAGCACAGGAGACATCCAGCTAGTAGAACTTAACTAAGTCAGTAGACTGCAGAGGGAAACAGGACAGTAACATTTCTGAAAACATTAATTATCTGCAGCTTGAAAGTCTTTTTGAAAATTTAAGTAATATGAATGTGTGGGTAACCTCTCCTCCCCCAATCAAGCCTGCAAGCGCAACTCCAAGCTATGAGAACAGTGATCCAAGTTCAGGCAGAGTATTTGCATGTACTGTAAAACACCACAGGCTTCTGAGAAGTTGCCCTTAAACAACCTAGCTGTGAACGCAGACTGAAAAAAAAAAAAAAATCCACAGAAGCACAGCTGACACTTATTTTGATGTTTAGAACACACAGAAAAACATACAACTAAATAACCTTCTCTAGTAGATTTTTGCTCAGATCAGTTGTATTGCCTAGTTTCTTTGTGTCTCCAGTTCTAAAGACAAAATTTATACCATGAATGTTCTCTGTAAACCAGAGATGCACAGGCGTCCTTACAAGTGTACCAAATGTAATGATATTTAAAGAAAAGTAAGTTTTGCCTGTTTAAATGTATCTAAGACAATGAGACAGTTTGTATCGTAAATACTGTTTTCTCTTCAGGACAGAGGAGTCGCAACAGCCAGAATATTTTCACTAACAGAGAAAACCAATCATGTATGAGATGGTAAAGGTATTCCATATACAGTAGGCAGTCTTATTAGCCTGCTCCAATTTCTAGAACCTCTTTCCATGGCCAGTAGAGAGAGTCACAGACATGACAGTCTAGTTTTGGAGTAGAGGAAAACAGTTTTAAGATCAAAACATGGAATCTGTTAAAACATTCATATTTGTTTGGTTTTATTTTTTGTTGTTTGGTTTGGGTTTTTGTTTTTTGTTTTTTTTTTTTTTTTTTATTTGCAACTACAAACCCCATCAGCGTACATTCAAATACTGCTAGAAAGCTGGCTAACCAGAGCATAGTATCAATCCTCCCTGTACCAGATGGGCAGTAATCTATCAAATCTAGATGAACCTTCCAGGAAACAAAAGCTCACTACATCTTACCTCATGCCCTTTACCCTTGAACTTTACGTTGTCAAACATGTGTCTTAGGGCTGGAAGTCCTCTTTCTGAAATTAGCCTGGTAACAGGAAATGGGTAAACTTATTTGAAACCCCTACTTTCTTCTTCTAATTAACAAAAACAATAGAAAACCCAGGAACAAAACCTCCCAGCACATAAACAAAAAATACCCACTTGCCTTTAAGTAGCCTAAACCTACAGAGCCCTCCCTATTTGAAACACATACAGAATTAGAAGTTGTTAAAAAACCCCACACAAAATAGGATAAAGACTGCTGCAAGACCAAAAACTTTTTTTTTTTTTTTTTAATTCACCATACATGCCTTCCTAATCCAAAGAGCTTTTTGCTTTTGATTACATGGAAAGAAAATTGAATGGTCAGTTCTAGTATCGATATTGGCCAAATAACACTAGTTAGATGCGTGACCAGAGCACCCACCTGTGGTATCATTAATTTAACATCAGTGTATTTAAAATGGAAGGAACTGAAAGCTCACATTCTTTCCATTGCTTATAAATAACTTACACCAGTTTTAGTGATAACAGCAAAGAAAATATTTAAATCCTTTACCTTTATACAGAGTTTATCTAGTCTGCACATAAGTCAGGTGTAAGTGTACTTCAGCAAGTGCCTTAGTCACCACTATATTGAGGTTTTATATTCTGAAGCAGACTTTAATTAAAGAAATCTACAGTACTATATCTGAAGCAAAATAAAGAAGATCCAGCTGGAAGAGTCCTATGTATAAATAATAAATATCTCTTAACAAAGCATTAATCAGCTATTAAATCCCAAGGGGACTTCAAGAAAGTTATACAAGTAATAACATTATATAGGTAGACAAGGAATAAAAAGGTTGAGATACAGCACACAATAGGCACTTTCACCTCCAAACCTCTCCATCTTTGCCTTGGCTATGACCAAGCAGGGATCACAGTAACCTTAATCATTCTCCCGCAGCCGTATACCAAATTCATCACAGAAAAAAATATTCTGTAAAAACTTACCTCTGAGCATCTAGTTTAGGCATTGGTCTTTTAACTACTTTCCGTGTAGCAACAGCAGAATCCTTTGTTTGTGACTGCTGGTTTCCATCTGGTTCCAATAAAGAAAATAACAGACTTTAAGTATATTATGCAATTCACATCAACTAGAATTGCATCATGTAAATTTTAAGTTTCTACCCTAGCAAAAAGGCAGCATCACAAGTATTCCATTGCAGGTACAGTACTCCAAACAAACATCTGCATATTTCACCTTCCTTCACCCACATGACAGTCTGGAGGTAAATCCATCTCTTTAAAAGGATACCGAGGAATCAACTTTTGTAGGAAAGTAGGTTCCCTGAAAGAGGAATTTTCTCATTTTCGAACTTTTATATTGTGTATCTGATGAGAAACATATCGAGGGTAGATGCTGCTTCTAAGAGTTAAGAAACTCAAATTATCAAGAAACCTAATTTGATAGGTGTGTCCCAAAATCTCCACTGACAGATCCGAAAGGCACACCTAAACCACCAGCATCGCCTCCAAAAACAGAGAAAGAGGCAATGTGTGACCACAATCAATGTGGCTTTTAAGAACCAAAGTCCATACACTTTTTGATTAGGGCTTGTATATATTATCTGACTGCAACAGTCAAAGCAGCACTGCCCATCTCATCTCTGAGCTAGCCATTAGTTACCATACTGATTTCCTGATTTACTTTTTGCTACTTTGAACAACAGGAGCTCCGAAGTTCTTCTTTTCACATATCAATTAATTAAATCTATCCAAAAATACTATTTTCTCGTGAAAAGACAGAGCAGGGATCAAGGAAAACATATGTTCAACACTGTAAGCAAATACAAGTAGAAATAAACAATAGACAAGAGAAAACATTTATACTTTCTATTAGCTTGTTCGGTACACAGTAAAATCTTTTCAAATACAAATAATTAAGCTTTACTATCCTGAAGTGCCTTGGATTTTTCCTAGGTCATATGATATACAAAATCTAACAACATCTCCCTGAAATATTACAATCAACACTCCTAACTCTTCTGAAATCCATGTCACAAAGGGTTACTGTAGATCAACGCTGTATAAATATCTTTACCAACACTCTGCTAGAGAGCTTGAATTGTATAAAGATTCATTTGTGTACATATTTTCATGGAATCTACAGAAATAAACTTTTCCCACAAACTCGGAAACACAGAATCAATAACAATTTAAATTTAGGACATGCTTTCTTATCTACACAAGACTATTGTTATGCAGTAAACTCAAAGCAGTAAAACAGCAGTAATATTGACTTCACAGCATTTAATTGTCTATACTGCAAAATGGGATCTTTAGGGGTCACAGGTGTTCACCTCCATCAGTTTCAGCCCATTCAACATCATCTCTTCCTGGAGAGGCAGGAGGTGGAAGAGGTGGGAACGTTTCATCTTCTGTGTTCTCATAATCAGGAAGATCAAACAAGTTGTTCTCCAAAGGATCTATCATTGCCATTGATAAACTTTTTTCCCCTCCTGCAGGAAATACCGAAAGTATTTAAAGAGAAGCAGTAAGAAAAGGCTGCCACAGAAGCAGATAATCACCAGTTATATACAGTGTGCCTACAGCTTTTTCTGGAAAAGATTTGCCAACCAGAAAAAATAGCATCATACAAATTAAATAGCAGATACCATACATACAGATGACACAATCCAGCCTCCCTAGGCCGAATACAGTAAGGGTGGGTCAAGTTTCAACTCAGTTACTTGGGAGTGGCAGATATGGGTCACGGGAATAAAACAAAAGAAGTGGGATTTCTAACCAAAGGCAGCCGTTTGCCGCTCACATCCTTAATAATCAAAGACTCCGCAGGGTGGGGTGACAATTCCTCTGATTTACAGTTTACCCACCTAGAAACGCAGTCTGCAAGAGGGGGTCCCCTTTTCCGGCTCCTTAAGCGAAGCTGATTCCAGGGCCGTTCGCACAACCGGGTTTAGGATGACCCGATTTTACCACGGCCGCGTTTCCAAAGCTTTTTTTTAATGCGACAAGTTGTTTCTCACACGGTTTTAGCAACGAGAGGCCACCTCAAGCAGCTCCGTCTACGCTGACCTTCGGAGAGGAGCTCCCCACCTCTGGGTGCGAGGCTCCCACGGAGCCTGAAGGAGAAAAAGAGAGCGGCGGAGGAGCTCGCTAAGGTCTCCGAGGCCAGAGCTCCAGCCCGCCGGGCGCCGCGGAGGCCCCGCTCCCCTCACAGCGCCAGGGCACCCCGCGGCGCGCTGGCACTGAGGGAGGGCGCTCCCCTCCCCACCGGGGGGACGATGTGAGGGCGGGGGAAAAGGGTTTCTCGCCTGCTTTCTTAGCTGAGAACAGCTCCACACCGCGTTCCCCGCGCACCAGAACGAGCAACAGCCCAAAACACCCGCAACTACCCAGCGCCTCACCGCTTCCCGCCCCGGCCAGCGGCGAGAGGGCAGCGCGTTGGGGAAATACCGCGAGAACCGCCAGTCTCGCGAGCTCCCCGGGCCGGGCCGGCGGGGGAGCTGCGCTCAGGGCGCATGCGCGGCGGGGCGGTGGCGCCTCTTTTGGCGCCAAAAGCCCATGGGCGAGGGCTGAGGATTTTCTAGCGCTGGTGCGGCATGGCCTTCGGCACCTGTCCGGTTGAGCTTTTCTATCACCTCTTCAGGCAAAAGTTGCTGGAGATAAGAGTTTTATTTGAAGCATTTAAGGTTGCTAGGCCCTGTGGTGAATCAGCCCCAGGAATGGGATTTAAAATAGCGTATGTTGAGCCCTTTCTCATTTCCTACCTCTGAGGAAGGGACTTCGAGGACAGGTAGCAACCCCAAGCTTTTTTCCACGCAGATGTTGGCTAGAGCCTTCTGGTAATTTAAAACTAAACAGTTCGCAATTGTCCAGGCTGTAATAAATACACCAAGCCATCTGGGATTTGGCAGCTGTGCGTTTAAAATGCCATTTAAGGACTTGTACTGCAGCCTGCAGAAACAGTAGAAGAGAAGCTCCCAGCTATGGTCTTCAGTGCTGTTCCGTCTGAAAAATTCTGTTTTCGTGTCTTCACAGGTCAGTCCTTAGAAGTGTATGTGACTTAAATGATAGGCTCTTCATCTAAGCAAAACGAGAGAAATTCATGTCAAATATTAAAGGAATTGAGTTTCCCTTATTTTTCTATAAATTCAAATTTGACATATAATGTTTCTGGTAATGTATTCTTTCTAATATGACAAAAACAATCACAGTTGTTTTCCAGTTAAAAAAAAAAAAAAAGTACTATCCTTTTGTAAAAATTATTTTAACAGTTTATGTTTAAAATGTTTATTTGCAAATTCAGCAGCATCATTTGTAATCAGGAATACATTGAATATAGGGAGAACACATTAATGGATTTGTTAGCATTGAATCCATTTTTCTTTCTAGATACGGCCAATTTCTTCATTTGACTGAGGCACATAAAGTATCAAAATAAACACAAAGATATAATTATAAATCAAGTGCTGCCAATCTCCAGCTCAAAACACTGTAAAGATTTGTTTCACATAAACTTACTGAAAATCAAATTTCTATATGATGAGCTATTTGCCTTGAAAATAATAGGCACTGTTTATATTAAAAAAGCTTTACAAATGAGTTCTGGTTTGAGCGTAGCCTAAGTATCTGATACATAACAGTGTGATACATCTTTTCATGTGAATGTTTTCCTGAGTATTTAATGCGTTTTTGTTTTTTTTTTTTTTTTGTATGTGAAGTAGTTGGATTTAAAATACTTAGTTAATGGCAGCTGAATTTATTAGAGGCTCAAGATTTCAAAATTCCCTTAAGTCCCTGTATATTTTCTGCAAAACCAACTGGTATGTGAAAAGAAATAGCATAGCAGGATTCTCCGAGAGCAAAGGTAGGGAGAAGGTATTATTAATTGACGTGGCTGGCAGGTCTCTGTATACCCAGGTCTGCATAAGCAGAGCTCTGTCCTGTGGTGTTTTGTCTATGCCAGAACAGGTAGATAACAGATACAAAAAAAGTGCTGGAAAGGCAGAAAAAATACTATACAAAAGTTAAAGCAAAAAATCACTTACAATCTCTGCAGATGAGTACAGTGTTATAAAACTAACTGTATTTATGCAACTTGGATTAATCAATATTTTTTGAAGAGTGTTTAATTAGAGACAGGACTTGATGACCTAGCTGGTTCTTTTGAGTCCTATGCTCCTAATTAAATGAAAAGCATATGCTGGCAGGCATTGATTATTGTTTGTTCCTCAGGAAATGAATAACCAGCCACATGCTGATAAAATAATAAGTCAGGAAAAAAAAAACCAACATAGCTTGCCTCTATTCTAGAAAACACTTCTGGTTTCTAGTTTAGGTGAAATGGAAATATTGTTTGTTTCTGTATCGAACAGTGTAATTTCATTAGAAAAATGGGAAAATTAGCACCTTATTTTACTTATTTTATATTTCAGTCTCATTTCCTGTTTTATGTCACACATAATATATGGCAAAGAAAATCTGTAAAATGGATAATTGGCTGCTACTACATTTGAAGCGGTTTACCCCTATAGGAGTAGTACTTGTTCTGCAACAACCCTCTAAGTATTATGTTGGCAAACCTGTTACTGGAATAAACCCTGGGCAAAACTGGTACCATTGTAGCTGTGTTAGTGGGAGATCACATCCTAGGGATTCAGCAAACTTCACCTATTTGTGATTTATACCTTACTAATTTAATCTAAATTTTATATTACACAGTCACCTCAAACATTAATTTCTAAGCTTTTAGTATATTACTAAACATTTAAGATTGTATTCTGATCCATAGTGATCTTTTCAATCCCTGCTTCTTGAGGAAAACAAGATGTGCAAGACAAGTTGTGATCTCTGGCTGTCTGAAAGTCAGTCTGTCAGCCCTCTGTTAATAATTTTTGATCCTGTTGGACAATTTTGATCAAGTTTGAATCTGGCTTCTTAAATTCCATTGATCATAGGACTAATTATTTCCATAAATTGCTTTGTTAACCACTAAATAGATTAAGAAGTATTAAGTCTTACAAAGAAAAGTTTGTGTGCATATATTTTGGCAGCAAAATATGCATCTTTACGTGGCAGTTGAATTTTAAAAGTTGGGTTAATTTAGTGATGCAATTAATCTAGATAGTAATCACGTCTTCATGCAAGAAACTAGAGAAAATTCAGATTTCCACGAGGGGAAAAAAGTGGTAATGAAGACAACCTTATTTGTTCCGTTTCTATTTACAGAGACATAGTTCAGTTCTATTATTCCAACCAGTGGTGAAATCAATAAATCAAAAAATCTCCCTGCTCAGTGGTCTTTCATAGAAATTACACTACCTTCTGTTTTTGTTTCATCTTTTCCTCTGTTATCCACCTTCAGAAACACCTGTTCACAAAGCAAAACACAGTTCCTTCTGCAGAGAATATTAAAACTCCCAAAGCGTGTTTTGTTTTGGCTGGAGAAAGATGCTTAATTTTTAGTTGCAGATGCACTAAAGTTAAACTGATTTGTTTTACAGAAGTTCAAACCAACCTACAACAATCTTAAAACATTTTAAATGTGCTATATAATTATATAAAAGAAAACTGGTCATTCGGTATGCCTACGTAGATCAGTGTGACAACCATTATAAAAAAATCAACGACAAGAAAACAAATAAGGTGTCTTATGAGGCTTTGAGCAAAGCCCAGAGGCCACCCAGCTCTTGGGTCCCCCTGAGATTCCTGGGGTACGACAGTGCCTGAGGAACTCGGCCACGGCAGCGATGAAAATGATTCCTGTGGTGGCATTAATCCATACACCCGTGACTTTATTTCTGTGTTCAGTCAATTCAAATTATCTTTGTTTTCATGCTGTAGTTTAAAGGGACTCTAAGAGAGATGAGTGAATTCAGTCATTTTTCAGATTCTGCAGTATTATCTTTGCAGTGTAAGTATGAAGTGCTCCAGAGGAGGGAGCTGTCTTGTAATAGCTGGAATTGGGTGGAGGGAGAGTCTTGGAATGGCAAAGCTGTGAAAATAATAATTCAATCTTTTCTACTTTAGAAATGGGTAGGATGTTAGGAACAATATAACATTTTTGCATAATATATAGGGAAGTTTGTTCGTAATTTCAGTTTCTACAAAAGCACTAATGATGACTGTGATTAAATATATTATTTTACTTTTGCAAACCACAAAAAAATAAAACATACTGATTTCAGAGTGGTTCGTTATACAAAGTATTTACAATATATGTTTTGTTATGAAATTTACTGTCAGCTGAGTTGATCAATGTGATCCACACTTCTTTATTGCTTGGTTTCAAAAATTCTGCATACCAAAACCTCTATTTTCAGTAGGTATGTCCAGTCATTCATCTGTTTGTGTAGGCTTTTTTTTCTGATGGAGAAAACCAAACAGTGTTACAAGGAGAAAAATAATTCACACTCATATAAATTGACAACTAAAAATCTTTGTTGCTCAGTCCAAATATTTAAAAGAAAATTAAAATTTCCTTGTAATAATCTTTTCAGAGAAAAAGAGGCCATACTTTGTAACACAGTAGAATAACTACAGTTGCATAATGCATGTGGGCAATTACAGCATAGTGCAACTGCAATTATACAGGGCATATATAGTAATTGTCCATGCAATACCTGTCTAATATTCACATGTTCTCTGCAAAGGAATTCAGTGTTTCAGACAAATGAGTCCTTGTATTTCCCCACACATAGTTGTGTAAAGAGAAAAACAACTTCAGCTGCAACTCAATGTCTTATTTGGAAAAAAAAATATCTGATTTTAGCTTAGAACGATTTGATGCTTCATGAGTTACTGTAAATGCTGGTCATTCAATTTGTGTCTTAATCCTGTGACAAAAAAAAAAAAGGAAAATAACACATAATTAAAAATTCTCAAATAACGATATAAATCTTGATTTCTTCTATTTTAATCTGTGGCTGAATCAACTCATTGGAGTATAAAACCTGCCCAGAGTTGTAAAGAAGCTATTAATTTGAACGAGGATTCATATGTCTGCATTGTATATGAAGAAGACCGCATCGCTTCAAAAGTTAGGGAATCTCAGCAAAAAAAGTCGGAGTTTTTTATGGAATGAGTGATGAGGGGCGCGTGAGTGAGAACTGCTTCACAAGATGGAGGTCACCGCCTTTGCACTGAAGCCACACGCGTGGCGGTTGTTGCCGGCTCTGAAAGCAGCGGGAGCGTGTGAACAGTTCCCGCTCCTCGCCCGGAGACACAACCGCAGTTCTGAAGCGCCCGCTGGAGCAGCTGCCTAGCAAGGAAAAAAAGGCATTTCTAGGCATTGATCTTGTTCTGCTCTCGGGGAAAAAGAAAGAAAGCACAGAAATACAACACCAGTTACAGCGGTCAGTGCTGGAACTGCCAAAGAAACGGATTTTTCACTCTTCTACCCAGTACCAAGCCATTAACCGCCACGTTAGCACCAA